TCTTTGTGGCCTGTTTGCAGTGAACCGGTAGCATGTTTGTTCCTGTAATCTGAACAAGAACATGTCAGTGATTATCTCACCCTTTCAGACTAGTTAGGTGCATTTAACTCTTGCAGTTAAGGAGTCTTGCCTCAGTGACAATGTCTAAGTGCTTTACTTGGTGTGAAGAATTGGTTATTTCTGTATGTTTAGTCAAATTTATATGTAACGTACTATGTATACTTTTTACCTAACACTCTTTAGAAATTATTTTTTTACAAAAAAAAACAACAACCTGAATGCCTACACTTAATATATAATTGAATTGAACGTACAAATTTAGATTTAAAACATTATTCAATTAAGTGCTCTTCTTCTGCTAGAGGATAAAGGCCCTGGCATGTAAAATAAGATTAATAATTGGTCTCTGTGAATGTTACGTACAGTAGTTATATCAGCATGATACATACTTTTAATTTGTTTTTTATTATAATTTTTTAAAACCCTGTAGTGCTTCATCACAAGTACAATGGGGGCAAGTCAAGCACCTATGTGAAGAACGGGACTGAATTTTCCATACAGTATGGTTCCGGAAGCTTGTCTGGTTATCTCAGCCAGGACACATGCACGGTAAGAAGTAACAAGTCTTATTTAATTTTTTTTTTGTTTTGTCACCTCAAATGGTGAAAAAAACTGATCTGTTACTTCTCTGTTAGATTGGGGATATTGTGGTTGAGAAGCAGATATTTGGAGAAGCTATCAAACAGCCAGGGGTGGCCTTCATCGCAGCCAAGTTTGATGGTATTCTCGGCATGGCTTATCCTCGCATCTCCGTGGATGGGGTTCCTCCTGTTTTTGACATGATGATGAGCCAGAAGAAAGTGGAGAAAAATATTTTCTCTTTCTATTTGAACAGGTACATACATTTATTTAGGTAATCTTCATCTGTTTCAGGATTTTATGAAAATTACATGACGGTCTATCACAAACATCCATTATATGCAGTTGTAACTAGGGCTGTCACAATTATGAAATTTGGCTGAAGATTAATTGTCTCAAAATAGTCACGGTTGTTGCGATTAATTGTCTGTTTTAGGGCTTTGGCGATTATGACAATTATCACGATTAATTGTCTTTTTTTTTTTTATGGCTTTCATTACATAATTGTGATTAATTTAAGGGTTCAGTAAATAATTATGATGTTATCTTTTAATCTTTTTTTGAGTTATTATTTTGCAGTGTAATATTACATAGAGTATTCCAAATTCTAAGAATCGGCCAATACCGATCCAACACCAGCGCTATTTTTTTTTTATATTCCTATAGAATTCCTATAGAATATCAATACTGTGTTTGTGGAACTAATGGTCACTTTTTTTTTTTAAAAACCCTTTGTTAAACACAATCCACTAAATACTCACTTCCTCATTACAGAAAAAAACTACATTTGAATAAAAATATATAAGCTATGAAATTAAACTACCTGACTGTATAATTTAGCAGCAAAAACAATATCTTGAAAAGTCTTTGGTGCACATTATACAATTTTAAACATGTTTATTCTGTTAACTATTTGTATTCTTACGAAATACATTCATGAAAATAAGATAGAAATCATGAGAAAAAGAAAGGCTTCTAATAATCTTTCTGTGTGCAAAACTTTGATAATGTGAAGCGCTTCAAACTGAGTGACACAAAGCTCTTATGCACATCCAGGTTGCAGAATGGTGCACTTGAATTAACATAAGTCACAGCGCTGCACTCCACATAGTACAAATAAAGAGAAGAGAAATGAGAGAGCAGTGAACTCCAGCAAGCTGTCATTTTATGCTAATCCCCAGACCTTTATCTACACCAAGTATTATAATGGGAATATATCATCTTAGAGAGTGAGTTTTACCGCGCTGACTGTCATAACTGAACGTGACGTGCTGTTTGAATGCTAAGCACAAAATGACTGACAGCTGCAGCAGAAGGAAGATCAATTTCTGTAAACTTAAATTTAACAATGTAAATACAATTCTGTCCCTCACATTAAGATATGGAATGGCTTCAGATGATATAGGCTATACAGTGCATGAAAAGCAAACTGGTGCTCTTCTGTTTCTTTTGGTGTATGACTCCCCCTTGTACCGTATAAAAAGCACAATAATTAGATCAAGGTTAGATCAAATAAGCGCGATTAGATGGTTATTTAATTATCGCGACATGCCTAGTTGTAACATTCAGGCCTGATTGTTGTGGATGACCCAGTTTTATTTTTCCGACAGAAACCCTGACACTCAACCTGGTGGTGAGTTGCTCCTTGGAGGCACAGACCCTAAATATTACACTGGAGACTTTAACTACGTGGCCATCAGCAGACAGGCCTATTGGCAGATTCACATGGATGGGTGTGAGATTTTTGTCTCCTTGTACTGTGTAATGCAACAGTATTTTACTTAAATGCATAAAAGTGACAACTGTTTTTTTTGTCGCTTTTGATACTCTGTTTAGTTACAATTTTTTAGTTAATAGATCTAACATGAAAGCTGTATCTGTTTTGAAAATGCTAACTTTTAAGATATAACTGCTTGTAAAGGCAACATTAATTGTTCACACAAGAATTGCAGTGCCTCTGAAACACTGTTTGTTCATTTAATCTGAAAAAATGGAAGGCATGCATGCATATGTAATATGTTATGAAATATGCTGGTCTGTCATGTGAGAGGCAAGAATCTTACCACTGAACCACCAATGCAGAAGATCCCTGTAACAATAATCTAGTGTTGACAGTGCTCTGTGTTTGTGTGTGTAGCATGAGCATCGGCAGTGAGTTGACTCTGTGTAAAGGAGGATGTGAAGCCATCGTGGACACTGGAACGTCTCTGATCACCGGCCCAGCTGCTGAAATCAAAGCCCTGCAGAAGGCTATTGGTGCAATCCCTCTGATCCAGGGAGAGGTACTGCAACTTTAAATGTTCATATAATTATC